GGAAATTCCCAGGAATCCACAAGGACGATCCCAGATTAGACTACTAGCAATAGTGGAGAGGGTACCTGAACTGGCCTACCCTGGTAATCAGATTGGTGAATATCCTAACTGTCATCATAGAGCCTGGAAGCAGATGCAGAGATCCACAACCATGCACCAGGCTGAGCTCTGGGAGTCTAGTTGAAGAGATGGAAGAGGGATTACATGAGCAAGGGGGGGGTCAAGATAATGATGGGGAAATCTACAGAGACAACTGAACCAAGCTCAAAGAAACTCAAGAACTTTAGACCGAAAGCTGTGGAACCTGCAAGGGACCAGACTAGATCCTCTGCATATGGAAGACAGTTGTATAGCTGAATCTGTTTGAGAGGTCCCTGGCAGTGTGATTGGGACCTATCTCTGGCACATGGTCTGACATCTTGCTCATCCCTGCTAAAGCAGGGAAAGGCTTGGTCCTCCCTGCACTGAAAGTACCAGGTTTAGCTGTCTCCCCATTGGAGAACCCACCTTGTTGGAGGAGGGGATAAGGGGAGGGGTTAAGGCAGGGTGGGGAGAGGTAAGCTGAGTGGGTGGAATGAGAGGAGGGATGAGAGGGTGATCTGTGGTTGGTATGTAAAATGAATTTAAAGAAAAAGAAGTTGTTTATTTCATCATAGGGCTATCCAATTGTCTTTTATTCACAGAAATAATTCATATTGAGAAATTTTCAAGTTGATTGATTATCTGCCACCTTAGATCAGCTGCTGAACCCCTATACAATGTTGTTTTAACTGTAGAAAATTCATTTAAACATAACATTTTATGTATATGTATGCATATATATGTATGGTGTTTTTATTGTCATTCATTTTGCTACTATGGAAATTAGTAATCCATGGCTGACATCATTTGCTTTTTGGAATATGTTTTTTATTAAGGGCTCTGACTTTCCATTTGCTAAATATAAATATAGAAAATGCTTTAATGTTTTCTTTTATGGAGATAGGTTGACTTTTCATGTTTCTTAGCATTTCAATATTTAAGTTGAAAACTTTAAAAATCATGTTTTTTTTAAAATCAGATTAGGTTTAAAGATTTAAGGTCATATAACATTCATGGGAATTTTGGAAGAGTTATCATTTTGTTTAAAAATTATAGTGAATAGGAGTGGAAAGGTTTTTATTTTAGTTTAAAAAACACATTCTTGGGAACATTGGGCAATACCTATCCTTCTAATGAAAACCAGTACATCACCAAGAGATTACATTATAGTACCTTACCAAGATAGAGCACCTTTCAACAGATATTCTGTAGTCTTTACTAAATACTGGATTATATTCAATAATCACATAAAAAGCAGAGTTCATGTCATTCTGTACTCTGATTTTCATAGTTTTAAGATGTTCAACATGACTGTCATATTTAACTCACAAGAAAATCTGTAGCTTCAGAGTCTTATTGCACCTGCTGACTGAAGATAGTGTTAAGAAGCATCAGAACACTAAAAGACTGCTTTTCTGAGCTGTGCTTTACATTAGGCTCCGGGCTGAACATAGCTATAGGGAGGTTGGTAGGAGTACTAGAATGGGGAAGGGAGAAGACAAAACATCTTCCTCCCTTTTCTTCATTATTTTTCATGGTTTGAAAACTGCTCTGTAGTTAATTTTGATTGCAAACTTGATCAGGTTGGGAAATGCCAAAGAGACTCCACCATACCTCTGGGCATGTCTATGTCATGGAACTACTCCATCATGGCAATCCTGGCCTAAAGAATTGTGTTTATCAATTAATGGCTTCAAAATTTGCATAAATCATTGGAAGATAATAGAAATGTAGACTTTATTGCCTGTTTGTAAAGAAAGAATGGGAATGAAGGGAGACTTCCCTGGGATATCTTATGTCATGGTCCTTTGCAGTATGTCTCAGCTTCCTGTCCACCACAATGTGATCTCTGCTTCCTGTATATCCAGGGTGAATCTCCACTGCATGTAGGGGACAACCTACCAAACTGAGTCATCTGAAATCATCCTGAGTATGTAGGGCACAACCTACCAAACTGAGTTATCTGAAATTATCCTGAGTATATAGGGTACAACCTACCAAACTGAGTCATCTGAAATCATGAGACAATATTTTTGCTCTTCTTTCAAACTTTTACATGACATCTACAAAAAAGTGACTAATACAAATGTAACACATGAAAACATGGAATTTAAAAAGAAAGCATTTTTGGTGGAAACATGTGACTCTCAATCACTTTGAGTGTTTTAAAAATGGATCAACATGATTTTAACAAGCCAGGGCCCCCACAATGATGTACTCTCCTAGAAAGTGGAATAGAGTCAGAGAACGCTGCTCCTTTACCTATCAACACCTCTTTGACTTTACCATAACCACATGTGACAACCATGCACCAAATTTGTTATTTGCCAAAATCCTGAAAATATTCTTTTTTCATTCACTCTTTGGATTAGTTTACTTTCCTTCCTGGTTAAATATTTAATCTACTGCTGCTATCTAAGAATCACCATTGTGTTAGTTGTTCTAATTATAAACTATCTTACACATTTTTCAGCACTAAATGCTACTTTGTTTGACCATTTAAAATTTTGGATTTCTCAGCAATAGGCTGCTTATAAGGTTGATTGTTCAATTGTACTGTCATCTCATTTTAAAAATCAACTTTTAATTTGAGGCTCTCAGATATAGTAACCGAAAATGTGAACATATGAATAGTCTAATCAGCCTTCATTATGCCATTAGGTATACAAAAGAAATCAAGAAATGATATAATTTAGTTAGAATTCTTTCATTTTGTGTCAAAAGTTTTTTAAATGGCTTTTGTGAAGTATTGTTTCAATTCTATTTCCAAAAATCATAAAGCAGAAGTTGTTTTTACAAAGTACATAGAAAACTGATTCACTGGTGCTGGACATTTTCCAAGTGTGGTGCAGTATTTCCAGTCTGTACCATATATACTAATGGCATTGGTGTTTAAGTAAGCATTGTGTTAGACGAGCTGATTTCAGTTCTAAAGCAAAGGCTGGTATCAGTAAACAGTCAAGTGCTCAGATAGTATAAAAAATATAGTTTCCAGTTTAAAAACAACCACTGTTCAGGTGAAGGTGAAGGGACAGATCCAATTTCATTTCAAATGCAAGGATGATTTAAATATTGTTCTCTTAAAAGAGTATTAGTAAAAATAATGAATTGTAATATAACTTTTAATTGTCTATAAGAGGAATATTATCATAAGCCCTATTTTAATCCTCATATTTTCAGTTTCAACCACATTTGCCCTTATTAAAACTTAAAAATCTAAACCTATAAGATATCTCAGTTGGCAAAGTTGCTTGTTGCCAACCTTGGCAACCTGAGTTAATCCCTGTGACCCTTCCTGAAGAAATAGAGAACTAAATACCTCCATCTGTGCTCTGAACTCACACACACGATCCACATATGTACAGGCACAATTTCCCCCACATAAAAATAATGACCATGGAATGTTTGACAATTGAAAACATTTCAGAACATCTCTGAGAATGTATTGATGTTTCTAAAACAGGCATCACAGAGTGAAGGATGCTTCTCAGTATTCATTTCTATTACCTGTTCTCTAACGCAAGTGTAATCTACACTCCTTTCAACACAAAGAAGCATACATTAGAATTACTTATTAAAACTACAATTATTTGCAATTGCCTGGCCACTGACTCATATTAAAGTTGTTCATTGTCCTTTAACATCCAATGGTCTTTTATCAGTTAAGAGACATACAGACATGTAGCTAAGCAATAGCTCTACCCCTGATCCACACCTCAGCTTGCCATTTGTTTGTAAATGCCTGGCATTCATAATTGCATAGCACATGGTGATCTTAGTGGCCATACATATTTCTGGATATCATTCTTTGTTGTACTTGAACTTCAGTTGAAAATTTCTGAACAAAACGGTGCTGTGTCCCAATGTCTAGGATATTGTTTATGATGTTATGTGGGGAACATACATTTTGACATACAATTGCCTAAATTTAGGAGATAAACCAAAAAGAAATTCAGAAGAGAGATACTTGATTAATGTAAAGATATGATAAAAGTTTGTTCATATTTTTATATTTATGATATTAGAGAATTTTATTTATATTCTTTATAGTCTATATAATATTTTCTTTCTGAGTCATAATTATAAGTTAATGATAAGTCCCTTAAGTCAGAGGTACAAGTCAGGAGTAAAGAGATTGTTCACCACATACAAACCCACAGGTTCAGTCTCTAAGCCACAAGAAAAAGTGACTGAATACTACATATCAATAGTGCCATAAGCAATGACACTAAGTTCAAATTCTGCATGAAAGATGATTAAGTACAAAATGACACCACTGCTAATAACAGAAAGTTATAGAATTGTGAATGTAGGGCATTTTAAAACATGAGCAGTCTGGGGGTTGGCTAAATGCTAAGGCAGTTGCCTAGCATGCAAAAACTGTTTAATCCTCAACGCTGGACTGGGGGTGGCTTTGTCCTCACTTAAGGAGATCATAGGCAATTCTGACTGTTATTTGCCACATTTTGAGTATGCTATGACTTGCTTACCAGATTATTTTATCATTTGCTTTTGGTATTATCCTTTACCCTAACCTAATAGTCCAGGAGCCCTGACCAGTGTTGTGTACGGTTTTCATTCTGCTCCAGCATAGTTTTCAATAAAGCCTCTTTGGTGGTATCACTTGCCTCTTACAGATTTCTGTGGCAAATTGAGCTAAAGACAACTCATATGTTTGTGTATGTCTGTGTGCTTATGTGAAAAAAAAAAACGTGCATAGGTTGTCCAATCCCAAGTGGTCAGTCCTGAACATATATAAATAAGAGCAATGTCTTATCTTGTGTCTAAATGGACTCAATACTTTATATATATTAAGTATATATTGCACTCACACATGCAAAGATGTATGTATATGTAATAATAGGAAGAGGTCATGAATGGAGGGCACCTGGGAAGAGTTGAAGGAGTGAGGGAGAGGCAAAAGTGATTCAGATTTTAATGTATATAGTTCTCAAAAAATACAGTTAAAAACTATGTATTTCTTGTGGGTTAGAACTTTGAAACAACGTGCCTTGAAAGAACTAAAATGTCTTCTAACTACTCAAAACTACTTTACCGTCTTCTTGATTTGAACTCACTACCCATCGATCAGCACTGATGATTAGATGCCATGTTTTTCTAAGATATTCAGAAATGACTGCAAACTGGAGAAGTATCTGTAATTAGAATGAGGAATTATTGACCTGAGGAAAGCATAACTTTTGCTTATGTTCATAAAGTACTATGAGCAAATAACAATGTAAGGCCAAAGAATCAGTACTCTGGAAAGTGGGCAGTCTCAAGGATTTTAGGGCATATCTTGATGTGAACTGTAGGAAAGGAAAGAGGCAAGACCAAGGTATCCAAATGATTTTTCTGTAATCCTGGTATAGTTGATTCACCTTCTTAAGTATACTATTCTCCTCCCAAGACAACATTCATGTCTTTTTTGTAGCTTTGAGACAGATCTCAGGCAGAAACAATTTTAGGTAGTTAGTGACTCTATCATTTGTTATAAATGTTACTTTGAAATGGTCAAAATATTATAATGAAAGATGAACACCATAAAGACCCCAAAAGAACTTTGTTTCACACTTGAGAATGGATGATGGAATGTCTAGTTCTGAACTAAAGAATCTTTGCTTACAGTTTGATTAATCTGTCCAGATGTATTTTTAAGATCATGCTTAGTATCCTGAAGCAATTTTGAATGCAGAGTCTCATTTTTAATATCTTTCATTCATTCACCTTTTCAGAAAAAATAATATCCATGTGGAGTAATGCATTCAATATCAATAAGCTTCATAACAGCAATGTGCATCTAACAGGTTTTGATTGACAATGCATGACAAATTATACTTCCTGTTCTACAGATGTCAGTGAATATTCAATAATCAGGTGAAAGTGATTTATTAAATTTTATAGTAAAAATTTAAAAATTCTTTAATGTCACTTTAAATTTCATGAAAGATACATCACATTTACTTGAGGAAGTGATTATCATTTATAGAGTATTTAAATACCTGTTCATGTAAACAAAAATCTTAAATGTTTCAAATACATATTTATGTGAAGCATTATTTGAGGCACTATAGCATAAATATATGTGTAGATTAAACTTATAAAAGATGTATACTATACATGCAAATACATAGCAGAATTGAATTATTTCTGGTAAATGTTAGTTCCCAAGGTACAATCAATGACTAGGAATGACCTTTTACTTATATAGGAATAATTTCATTTTCAGAAAAGGATTGATCTTTAATACACAGAAAGGATTCTTTTCTCATTCCTTATTTTCTCCAAACCTCAGATTTTGTGCATTTGGCTTTCTTTTCTTTTATAGCATCAGTCTCCTGAGATCCTCCAGGAGAGGAAGGTAAATCACCAGTCAATATTTAGACCTGTGTATTCTTCTGATTAATGGAAGAGCCATGGGATGGTCTCCAAAGGCACCTGGAACAATGCCACTGGTTTCCCCACCTCCACACAATCGAAATCTTGATAAGTAACTGTAACTCAAAGTTCAGAGCTTTCAATGACACGTACTCAGCAGCTCTAATACTAACTTAAGTGCCTCATTAGCATTATATACTTTATACTTATTTCCTATGTTTTTCTCTTATGAATTTAGATATTTCTAAGTGGTAGCATAGGAAATGTATGTATTCAAATATTGTTATTTATTGTTTGGGAATAATAATAAAAATTTAGTTTAGCCTATATTGTCTAAACATCCTTCTAATTACTTAAAGATGTATGAAGCTGATACTCCTATATAAATAGATTATAACTTACATAGACATGGAACATTTATTTTCCTGTGATAAATAATGATATGTTTCATTAATTGGAGATATGCCAGGAGAGAGAAAAAATTTCTAGCAGAAGTTAAGCTTATGATAAAAGGATACACTTAAGATGATTCAGTTAACCTCCTAAACTTATTTATGTAGCGATACGACAATCGAAGAGTAATGTAATTGCTTCATATTATCAACTGCTCAGGATAACTTAATCATAATACTTCCATCCTTGTAAAGTTTATAGTCACCATGCAAAAATATAGTCTCAGTATTGTCAATTATTGAAAATGTGGACAATTTTACATCATATCTTCTATGTAAAAGTGAAGTCCAGCTTACTCAGAGTCAGTGGTGGTTTGAGTGTGAAATGTCCCTCACAAACTCAGACATTTGAACACATGGTATCTTGTTGGCAATGTTTGAGAAGACTTTGGGGCACAGTTTTGCGGGGGGGAAAGTGTGTCACTGTGGACAGGTTTTACGACTTCATAGCCTTTCCTGTTTCCAGTTTCCCATCTCTGCTTCATGCTTTCAATGGAGGATGTGAGCTATTAGCTTTCTGACCTGACTGCCATGACTGCTGCTTGCTGACATGCTTCCCTACCACAGTGGACTTGTAACATGCTGAAACCACAAACAGAAAAAAAAAAAAAACCACATTCATGTTGCTTTGGTCATGGTGTTTGATCACAGCAAGAGAAAAGTAATTAGTACTGGGTATAACCTTACTTCTTGGGGATTGGGAATCTCTTTTTTTACTAATATACAATACAATAAAAATTAATGGAGAAGAGGCCATGAATCTGAAAGAGAGGAGGGGCTTGGGAGGGAAATGTGGAAAGGCAGAGATGCTATAATTATATTATAACCCAAAAAACATTTTTAAAAACGTTAGAAATACTGTGATGCTGGGATTAAAATTGTGTGCATTTTTGTTTGTTTGTTTTCATTAGTCAGAGGGGTACACACACACACACACACACACACACACACACACACACACACACACACACACCTTCCCCACACATTGACTGTTAAGAGTCTTTTACTTTATTTGTTATTACTATTATGTGATCTTGATTCAGTACCTGTAATATAGAGAATATAGAGCACAGAAAACAATAACATGTAAAAGAACTTGGAAAGAGACCAAGCCTATTCTTTTTCCTTACCCTGTCTATGTCAGAGCAACTAGAAAGCAAAAACAAAATCAAGGGTATTCACGACTTAGTGGGGTAGAAACAAAAGCAGACAAGAATGAAGGAAAAAAAATCTTGAGTAAGGAAATAATTTTCTATTTCAGTTAGAAAAAGAAAATGGGCTTGGAGATGCTTGGCAAAAAGAACTGCCTCTACATCCCAGCAGAGCATGCATCACTGGCTTCCCAAGCAAGCTGGTTGATTCCTCTTTGCCTCCAGCTACTGCAGCTGCCCCCAGTAACGTCTAGTCTAGCATGGCAATTTATTATTCAGGTCCTGGTTGGAATCTGTGCTTTCTTTCCAAAGTTTCCTTTGGGTAACTGCAAATTTGCATGAGCTTCTCAGATCTATCCATCCCAAAATGTTAGCTCCCCTAGGAGGCTGGCTAGTGATTTAGGTACATGGCTAGAAAACTCTACATCTCCTCTAGAAACCAGTAGATATATCATGCAAAATAATTATTATGCTAAAAAATTACTGTGGATGTCTGGTGTTACCTTCTTAGTTTGATTCATTTAAAAAAAATGAACTGATGTTATTACCTGGCAATGTGGTAGAATCTTCTCTGGGTCTCCCATTTCCAGGATCCCATTAAGCATCCAGTACTATGAAAATAAAAAAGAGACAAGGATTGGAATATTAGAGGTAGTAAATACTAGGGGTGTAATGATCCCTTAAGGACTCAAAAGAACTGAAACATTTAGGGGCAGTACCATTATGGTTCATGCCATGTGGTTACTTTAATAAAGATTATGTTAAAGTCACATGGCATTCTTCAGTTTGATATAGTCACTAACCAAGATGACTTTCAAGTTACATTGTTGCCACCAACTTGACGATATCAATGTCACTAGGCAAAAGGTCAACAAATCACAATACTATTTAGTTCCTGGCAAGATTCAGGATAAAATGAGCCCATCTTCCTTCAAGGCACAAGTCCTGGTGAGATCCATGCATCTTATAGATTAAGCGTGAATAGTCATTCCTTTTATTTTTTTCCAACAAGCATCAGAGTTTTAAAAGCATGGATGCTGTAGAAGAAAGTACCCTTAGGTATGTAGTAAAATAGCAAAGCAAATAAATAGAAGAAGAAATGTCCTTGCTCTCAAGCCAAGGAAAAGAAGTTCACATATCTTACCATTGATTATAAATGAGAACACCAAGCGATGTCATCTGGATGTTGCTTTGATATATGGACCCTTGGCTATTAGGTACTATTTCTTACTGCAAAAGGAATTCACAAAGGAAGCAGAAGTAATGGGGAGTGTGCCAAATGCCCACATTTGGGGCTGTTTTATTAGGAGCACTTGGTAGACTTAAAAAGAAGAAGATGGTGGTGCCATTGTGTCCCACTCCAGCATAGCCAATGATGAGATAAAAAGAATCTGCAGAACTCAGCATTGGCTATAGTTTATGTCCCTTAGAAATCAACTCTTTAAACAGTTACTCGACTTAAAACCATAGTAGCTTTGTGTGGCACTTCTACTCACTTAGAAAACGAATGTCTGGGAATTTTATGGTCTAAGGCACTGTTGAACATAACCACACTAAGTGGCTCTCTATACGTCCCCCTTCCCTCAAACCAAATCCAAAGTCTCATAGGTTATCTGAGGGAAAGAATTGGAGGGTGGAGAAAACAAGAGAAACCTGTGTCCAGAGAGAAGATAGGGAGTTAAGCGTCGCTTCTGTGGGTCTTTCAGTGCTCCATCTCCCTTATTGGGGGCAGGGAGGGGTATATTGAACAAGGCAGGAGAGTCACCGTGCCAGCTAAATGGGTTGTTTTCCACCCTCTCTGGGTGAAACTGTTTATATTACTTGGAGCTGAGTTTAGTCTGATTACTTACCTATTTGGTTCTTAAATTGAGAGGCCCTTAGAGGCTCAATTTCCATTCCTAAGGAGATGATTTCTTGCCTTCCATATCAATCCTTCACTCTCAGACAACTTCCAGTATGTTCCAGCTACCTCTGAGTACTTTGCTATTTTCCATTGCATATATTATCTTGGTCTGTGTACAGAAATTCCTGGTAGCCTTGATACCTGCTTAGGCCCTTCCTTATGTTGCTAAGAAACGTTCCATCCTGAGAATGTTACTAATCTCAGAGGGTCTTTCATCTAAAACTGTATTTCCTGCTGCAACAGAGATGTGGGATAGCTCCCCAGTGGACACTAGGGAAGGGTTTCTGAACACAATCTTGGATGGATTTGAAATCCAGGACAAGCTCTCAAATTTTTGGAAAAGAATATTCCCTGTACCACACACTCGCACACACACACACACACACACACACACACACACACACACACACACACAAATAAATAAATAAATAAATAAATAAATAAAAATGAACAAACAAAGCAAAGTAACCCAGTAAGGCAATTTCATTTAGTAAAAAATATGTGCTATGATCCAAATTGGGCCAACAAGCACACCAGGGTGAGAAGTACAGTTAGTTTTTATTTTAATTCAGGTAATGAATGTGTCTCATCTTATTGGTATGAGCTCAACCTCATTATCTGGCTAATTCAAAACCAATGTGAAGAGAAGGGTATGCTGGAGTCCAGTCTTCAAAAAATGCAGGGCTTAGGCAGACATATACACACACTCATTTCATGAAATTTAGAAGTTTGGTGAAATATTGGCCTTTGTCATGACGGCTTTGATAGGAAAAGTTTTCTCATACACTGGCCTTGGAATGTGGAAAGGGCTAATTAAAAAAGAATTGGATGTTATTTTAGAAGGAAACAATTCCTTGAAGTTTCTCAAGCACTACTGATGCTTAAGGATATATTCAAAGATATCCATAATCCTGAAGTATTATTTTAAACCTATAATCCTGTACACAATCACCTAATTTCACAATTGTGATTCCTTATTGGAATGTCATCCGACATAAAAGGGATAGTGCTTAAGGTGCTACGTTAGCATGTTTTGTGAGCTATGTTAGTTCAAGTGCATAATTTACCAAAGGAAGGGCAAGAGCTTGTCCAACCATTCAAAGCTGGTCACCCCTGCCCTCTCCCCCTCCCCATGTAAGGGTAATTGGAAGAAGACAATTTTGGTGAAAGTTCTTCTGTGAGTCTCATTCACTCCTCTATACATGGAGAGGGGTGTGCACTATCATCTCCATCTTGAAACTGGTAAAAGAAACACATAACTCAGCCAATGCAGAGGTTGAATCTAGACCTATGTCAGAGGAAAGTATCCTGCCACCAAAAATGGCTCCCCTCAGAGGTAGATCAGGCAGAGAGCTGTTGCCTGGATCTTGATAGGTTTTCTAGAGGAATATAAAAAATCTTTGAAAAGGGTTGCTCTCTAAAATTTTTATAAATATTTTTAGTTTTTGATATTATAATAACAATCTTTTCAACTTCCCTTTCCTCCTTCTAAACCCTCTCTTATACCCTGCATATTTTAACACATTTTTACATTTTTTTAATAGAATGTTCTACCTTAAATGAACGATTCTTTTTCTATTAACATAAATGCATAAGTCCTTACTTATCACATTCCAGGTGACATATTTTCCAAAATATTCTTTTTTAAGGAGAATTCTCCAATTATGGGAATGATTTCTTTGACCAGACCAGTATCTGAACATAAATGTAATTTACAGTAAGTTTGGGTTTTAGAGGCAATTCATATCTGAATAGCTAGTGCAACTTATTCCCACTGGGGATGAAAAATATTTCATTCTGGATTACTGCTTCAGTATTTGCTCACCTGTAAGAAAGATCCATTGCATCCCATATCTAGAATATAGCGGTTCTTAGTTAACTCAGAAACCACAGTTACACACTGTCAAAAGAACTACTGTTCCGCACTGGAGGTGATGACTGTGTAATGGGTAAGGAGGGAGTTGCAGTTATTTTCCTTTTGCGGTAATTCCTGTGTTTCTTTGTTTTCTTACATTTATCTTTATTGTCTAGTTTCATCTTTTTACTTTTGTTTGCAAGGATGCTGTTTTCAGATTCTATGAGTACTACAGTCATTCCTTTGATACTCTCATGATATGGCACATTGTTATTTTTTTCATATAGAAAAAGCAGAACTTGTCTATGACTTAGGAAGAAATCTCAATTTACAATAATCCATTAAAATAAATGAAACGTCCTTTAGCAGATATTGAAGTATTAAACTAAGTGAATTAGTATGATTTTTTTAACCTTGGATTCTGGTTTAGACATAAGCATATCTCTTGTTATGGAATTGATATTTTTGGTGTTCAGATAAGGATAATTATATACTACTCTCCCACATATGAGAGCCATTTTCTAAAACCCTTGCTGATGTGCAGTGCAATGATTATCCTGTCACCTCAAATTTCACTTTTCCTTCTACGATCCATATTGTCATTTCCTCCTGAAACACTAAGTAAGGTGGTGAGAAAACATAGCTCTTTCAAAAACCTGTAAATATCTAGAAGTTGTTTCATGCTATTTGGGAGTCTTAACCCATGACTGGCACCTCCTTTTAGTCAGCCACTCTGCTCTCCAAATGATGACTATCACGGTGTCCCACAGCTGGTCAAGGTGTAGAGAATAAGAGTCTATAGAGTGCTCCACTCCAAATGGGGCATATATACTGTACCACCCCGTTCCAAGGCACAGAGATCCTTTTGAAGGAAGGGAAGGTAGAACAAAAAGAGGCAGAAGTCGTGAGATAACAATGTCCTACAGACACAACAGGGAAGCTCCACATGTGAAATCACAGCAGGTACAACACTACACACAAGCCCCATGCAAGCTCAATCCAGACCAAATCCCTCCATGGAGATTGAAGGTGAACATGAAGCCCCACACCTATTGAAGAGTCAATCTTTTTTTATGAATGGGAGAGTCAGTCTTCTTTATGAATGTTGTCCCTGACTGGTCAACCAAGCTCTAGTAGAAGGTGACATTTCATGGATATAAAAGCTGCACAAATTGGACTCGATGGGTCAAAATACAAAAGAAGGCACAAATTAGGTAGTTAGGGAAGGTGGGGGTGGATCTAAGAAGAATTGAGCAAGAGGATTAATAATGGTCAAAACTCAAAGAACTAACACTAATAAACAACTGCACAAATTCCACCTCAACCTAGGAAGAATAGCTATTATCAAGAAAAAACAGAGTAAGAATACTCTAGGTTTGGTGTATGAATTCATCTAGTAACTATGGAAAATAATACGGAGCTTCTCACAAAACAAAAATATCAATGGCTACAAGATCTTACTCTACAATGGTTAAGTGTAGTGCTAAAAGAAACAAGGTCAGCATACAGTATAGATACCCATACATTCACATTTCTCACACCAATGATCAGAATAGCTGAAAACCAGGCAAGGCATCCATCATAGATGAATGTGTAATAGGGAATATTGTGTATACACATAAATGAATATTATTCACTCCTAGAGAAGAAGGAAAACATATTATTCATGGGAAAATGAATGGACCTGAAAATTATATTAACAAATTAACCAGTTTCACACAAGCAAGTAATGAATGACCTCTTCTATAAACAGAATTTAGATTTTCATAAAGTACATAACAACACAAGTACAACTGAGACTTTTTGGAAGAGAAATTGGAGCAGATGAAATGGAGGTGAGAAGAGCAGTAATA